GTCCTTGCCAGCGCCTCAGACTTCAGGGGCGCAGTCGTTCGCCGCTTTTTTGGCGAAGGCTCAGGGCAGCTGTTGGCTTGGCCTGAAGACCCGGCTTTTTCAGGCGGCGCCTCCCCAAATTCTGCAATGTGGTCGGCCAAAAGCCGCTGGAACTCAGTGCCAAAGGTCGGATGGGCTGCCCACTGCTGCACAACAACTTGGGGCACTGCCAAGACTCCTTGCTGAAGGACGCAGACATTGAGCTGTGGGGGAGGCGGTTGACAACTTGCCAGCTGTCAAACTTGCGCAAGCAGCTGTGGTTGGCCTCAAGAAGGAGCTCCTGGGCAAGATCATGATCCGTGTGTCCACGGATCGCTCTTGGCTTCTTGTCAATGTGTCGCAGAACGTTGTGGCACTGCCAGCTGGCACTGTTCTGGCTGGTTTTGGGCCAGGTACATTCAAACATGTGCCTCGCCTTGCAGAGGGGAAAATTGGCCCTGCAGATGTGGAAAAACACATCCTCTTCGACATGAAGAATGCCAACACCCATGTGCTCCACAATGGCAAGTTGACCACGCTGGGCGAGATTGTGAATGCAGTGCAGGGCAACCGTGCTGCCACTGACATCTGCTACCACAGCCAGAAACCTGCCCCATCCGAGGACCCAACGCACTTTGATCTGGAGCGCAAGCATGAGGTTTACTATTGCCCTGCTTCAAGACCAATGCGCAAGTTGAGGCATCGGGTGATGACCCCACCAACCTGGAGCTCAAGGGGTCATCATCCTTGGCTTCTTTGGTGCCGCTCTCCACTTGCAAGTTCGAGCACTGCAGCATCATGTGGGCAGTGAAATGGGCTACGAAGGGCCTCATGCCTATCAAGCCGCACATTGCCCTGACCTACGACGTTGAGATCCAGCCCGGCACAGCTGTTCATTTGTAGGCCACCTTTTTGTCCTTCTGCTTTAAATCTTGGGGCTGCTGGCCTGATTCCGAGGAATCCAAATCCAGATGCCAGCATGAGTGCGAGCCAAAAGGTACTGCTTAGCTTGTGTCCTGAGCGCAGTATGTCTCTTCACATGTCTTGCTCAACTCAGGTGTTTGTTGTTTTTGGCCATCCATGTTTCAGCTTGCTTGTTTGACAAACACATTGAAGTGTAACTGACCTGTGGCTAGCCACATTTTGCAATATACCCCCCTTTCACCTTAATCCTTTAGATGGGAGGTTATGTCAGAATGATTCTTCATGTCATGGGCTAGGTTTTGTGAGCTTTCGTGACTTCCAGGCTGCCATGGTTGCTGTGGAGCTTGTGGCTAGCCACGCTCCTGTGTTGAATCAACTTCACCTGCGGCTAGCCGCAACTTGTCAGAAAGTCAGCCCATCATGTGTTCTGAGATTTTCTTGATTGGCAATGAGTTTGATTGAAGTTTGGAACTTGGAGCCTTGGTGTTTGGCACCCTCAAGTCTGGGGATGGAAACTTGATGTCCAGTTGCCAAGCTTTCAGCAGACATCAGCAATCACAACCAGCATGCAGCAAGCATCATGTAAGCAGTTTAGCAGCCAGCTTGCTTAGCAGCCATGACCATTACGCACCAGGAGGTCATTGAAGGCATGGAGCAGGTCACCTTCACTGCTGATGACCGCGCGAACGTCCGTTTGGCGACGTCCTGCGAGGTCAGCATTCGCTCCAGGAACAATGGGCCGCGAGTGCTTCGCATCACAGGCCAGAACAATGTGCAGGTGCAACTGGCACGGCGGTGCGTCCTTGAGGTGATCACTGGGACTTGTGTCAGCACCGTGGCAGGCTCCCTGGCACTGCTCTGGCAAGTGCTTGTTTTTGGGCTTTGACAATTTTGTTTGTGGGAACAAAGTTAGTTGCTCCACCTTGCTCCCAAATTGCTAGGTCCAGCAGCGATGCCGCCACCTGGAGAACCTTCAGTGCCCGGAGTGACCACAAAGGCTTCCGCAAAAGCACCTGCAGCCCCGGCTAGCCGGAGCAGGTCGCCGCCTTGGCGACGAAGCAGCTTGAGCTTTCATGGCATGAACTTTGCAGTGTTGTTGATGGCTAGCCATCTTGTTTTGTGTTGGTGTTTCAGTGGAAATGGTTGGCAGTTGGCAGCTGTTTAGCTTGAGGCACTAGCGCTGGTCCCTGCCGAACACGTGGCGAAGGCAGCTTGTTTGACCAAACTGTCAGCTTGTTTTTTGGATACTGTGGTTGGCCCTTTGTTTTTTTTGTGTTTTTTTTCTCTTGTGGCCTTTTGCTGCAGGAGCTGCTTGTGTCACGCCTCTGCCCTTGGAGGGCAAGACCATCTTCTTGGCCAGCTGGGGCCTCCGAGGAGTGAATGCGTGCCCTGATGAGTTGGATCTCACCATTTCGTGCCTTCGCATTGACGACCCAGATCGAGCTCGGAGCCGCCATACTGAAGATGGTGATGACCTTGGCTTCCACCCTGGCTATCACGATGTGACCCTTGCCCGTGTCTTTGCGCATGCGGAGTTCCTTGTGCTGCTCGGCGAGGTCAAAGCCTGGGTGGCTCAGCTGTCTTCTGCCCAGAAAGAGGCCAGACTAGGCATCTTCTGCAGAGCAGGGCGCCACCGTTCAGTTGCGGTCTTGTGGCTTCTTGCCCATGTGCTGGCCCGGCTGGGCGCGCGTGTGAGGGTGAACCACCTGGAGCAGAATGCTGGCAGGTGGTCGCACCTTTGCAGGGGGTGCAGGTCATGTGCCGAAGGCACTATGACCAAGCAGCGGCTAGCCGCAGAGGTCATGCGTGCATACATGTCGCTTGAAGTGTGAAAAAAAAGAGTCGGCATGTTGCCCCCTTAAGGTCCTTGCCCCCTTGAGGCCCTTGCCCCCGTAAGGTCTTTGCGTTGCCCTGCCAGGGTGTAGGGCCATGAAGGGCGGCTAGCCGCCTTCTGAGAACTTTAGCTGCAGTGTGTTGTGTTCCACAGTTTCCTTGCCATGCATGGCGGCTAGCCGCCTCAGTTGCTTTCAGGGCCTCGCCCCACATGCTGTCCCAAACTGTTCTTGTGTCCAACACTTGCAACAACACGCACTTTTTGCATGCACACACACACACAAAGACCATGCACACAGAACACATGACAACACAAAAAATAGGACAAATCTAATTATTTTAAGGCCAAATCCCACGAACAGAACTTTGAGGTGGACGACGTCCTAGAGGCTGGCGACGAAGAACATCGACGGCGCATGAAAGTGCTTGAGAAAAGTTGCGCTTCGGCAAGGCGGTGGAACTGCAGTCGGAGGACCTCGGCACGGGCTACGCTGGACGTCGCATCAGACAGGAGCGGGGCTGTTCTTTCACCCACTCCATGCAGGACTACGTCCAGAATCGCCTCAAGCAGGTGATCCTGGAGAACAAGACGCTGAAGAAGAACGCCAGCGAGGTTCCGTTGACAGCCAACGAGGAGATGCAGCTGCGAGGGACGATAGCGTCCATAAACTGGATTGCCCGTGAGGCCAGGCCTGACGCCTCAGCAGCCGCGAGCATCCTGGCCGGATGCTTCCCGAACCCCACAGCCGAGAATGCATTGGAGGCTAGGGTGGTGAACAAGATCAAGGGCCACAATGTGGTGCTCCGCATTTTCAGCATCCTGGAGGACAAGATCCACCACATCCTGATTGCGGACAGCTCCTACGACCCGTCAGGCAAGCAGAAGCCGCAGCATGGATGGTTGCAGGGTATCACCGATGATACCTTGAATCGAGGAGCCTCTGCGCCGATCTCCTTGATGTCATGGCGCCCTCGGAGATTGCGGAAAGCCGGATTAAAGCATGCTGCGCGAAGCAATTTCCATGGCCACCGCGCTGGGCGCCATGGAGAAGCACGGAATCTCTGAGGTGGTCGAGGTACAGCCCTCGAAAGTACGCCGAATGTGACGATGACAGTGGTCTTCATGGGGCCCCCACGGTCATTGCCTCGGAGAACCCAAGGTTCGCTGACCAACCTGGTGGCAACCATCGACGCCAAGTCGGTGTACGATGCCACACACTCAGAGCAGGCGCAGGGAGAGGACGACCGCAGTGCTCTCGAGATCGCAGTGATCAAGGAGAGCCAGGATCAGGTGGCTGCCCCACAACTTCAACCCGGCGGACATGCTGACGAAAAAGATCGGCGCTCATGAGGAGCCAATGTTCGCTTTGCTGAGGAGCTGCCGGCTTCGAATAGAAGCTGAAGCAGATCACCTCGCTTCAGGTCGTCAGGGCGACCATAGGAAGAAATCCACGGTCAACCCATTGATAATTTTGGGGGCTGAGGAAACCACTTAAGAGTCTTGGGTTGATCTGGATTGTCTTTACAGGCCTTGAGCTGTATCGGCTGCGCCCCGTAGAAAAGAGCGATAGACTGCTCACCCACATTTGTTTGTTTGCTTTGTTTTTTGGTTTTGATTGAGTGATTGTTTTTCTTTGTTTGGCCGGTTGGTTGGTTTCGGTTTTGTTTGCTTCCGTGTTTTGTTTGTTTTTGTTTTGTTGTTTGTGTGGTTGTTGGTTTGGTTTTGTTTTGTTTGCCTGTTTGTTCTGTTTGGTTGGTTGTTTGCGTTGTTTGTTGTTTATTTTGCGTGCGACTTCTAATTTGCTTTTGTGTGTGCTTCGGGATGCGTGCGGCAAGCCATGGAACAACCGGCGCTCACGACCCTCATCTCAACATCCTCCGCCTTGGCAAACGCGGAAACCCGCCACCCCATCCCTTGGCTCAGATTGCAGCAGGTACATTCGCAGAATCGTGCTTTGTAGATTCACCAATGTGTTTTGTATCGTTGGTGCTGACCACAGTGAAAGCTGGCTTGTGTGTTTGGAGGGCCGTGGGTTGTATTACTCTTGGCTGGGGCTGCTCAAGACGTGCTTCAAGTTGTTTAAGAATATGTGTATTTTCTCTTGTTGATTTTGAAAGGGCATCTATCACTACTGGAATATGGTTTTTCTTCGCAGGGGACTTAAGCAAGTGGATGAAACGAAGGGGTCGATGAACGGTTAATGCATGCTTTGGTTCCTGGCGAGGTCGGTGACCTATGGCGGAGGCATTTGTGAGACTTGGCACGGGGACAGGGAGGAGACCAGGCAAATTTTCTGAGAATGCTGAGGCTGACATGCACCTAAACTAGCTGGTGGTTGGAAGGCTTTCGGAGCTGGCGTCTCTAAATTTGCCTTTAAGAGGGAGCCCTTCACCGCCACTCATGGTAATACAGTTACGGGCCATGTTGGTCGAACTGAACAGTGCGCTGTAGGAATCTGCTTCATTGCACCGCAGGTGCATGCAGGGGCTGTTTGTTCGTTACTTCTCCTTGCTGAGGACCACTTTCAAGAGCCGCGTTCAAGGGTTGCAGGGAGCCAACAAGAGGGAGCGTGTTGTGCAGCCGGTCCTCAATTCATGCCTTGCCAGGCACTGTTTTTTTGTTGGATTCATGAAATTTCGGCCAACAGCTACCGCGAACAAGAAATAGCACGTTGCCCTTCAGCGCGGGTCCCTAATGTTTCCCGTGTTGGTGGGTTTAACATCACCTCGTTTGGGGCCGTTTAAGGCGAGCTTCCCTTGATACAGCACTTGGTTCAAGGGGAAATATGGGATACCGTATACCCCATTTGACAATTGTGAATGTAGAGCTTGAGGGCCCCCAACAAACCTGGGCAAGTCAAGGGGAATGTGAAACCAACATGGGGGCTTGTGCCAATATGCCTTCGACTCCCCTGCATGTAAGGAATAAGGATCTCAAACAACAGCCCCTTCTTGGGAGAGTGGATGTAAGGAAAGGGGCCCGCCTTTGGCGGGGCTTCTTTTGTTAGATTTGTAAGCGTACGGTCACGGGCCCCCGTAAGCAGGCGTATGGTACATCACCTTTTTGAGCTTTTTCTGGGCCTCCACCATCCGCCTGGAATTCTAGGGGTACCTTCCCCATTCTTTCCAAGGATCCTTCTTTCCAGAAAACCTCCGGAAACCCAGGGAAAACACCCGTTTTTTTGGAAAGAACGATGGATGCAAAGAATGGGGAATCAACCCCTGGATGAATAAACACGGGGAAGGCACGGGACCCGGTCTCGGGGACCCAATCGCGAGCCGATGCCGAGGATGCCACCTGCCCCTCAGAGCAAATGCCGTGGACTGAGACGGTAGGTTGCATGCGTGAGTTGCTGGTGGGGACCCGTCGGTGCTCAGAATGCTTGGTTTGTTTGTTTGTTTGTTTGTTTGTTTGTTTGGTTGGTTGGTTGGTTGGTCGGTTGGTTGGTCGGTTGGTTGCTTTGGCTGGTTTGGTTTGGTCTGGTTTGGATTCAATTTGTTTTGATCTGGCTGGCTGGCTGCCTGGCCAATTCAACTTCTCCGTGCCGCCAGGTGTGCATCCCAAGATGCGCAAACCTGCATCCACAGCTGTCGCGGCCTTGGCAGGGGTGCCCTCGGCCCAAGGCCCAAGGTGCAACAAGACAAAGCTCGATACCTTCCCCCGTCAAAAGCAATATACGGATCCCTGCTATGGGAAAACGGACTTCCACCCTAAAGTCACCAAGTGGCACCTTGCGCCCTTCGCGATTTTTTGGGGTCTGGGAGCCACACTTTCCGAGGGGGGGACGTCCCCGCGCCCTCTATCGCATGTTTTGCTTGAGGTGTCCGCTTGGCAACTCTAAGGTTAGATGACATGGGATTGTGGGCATCACCTCGTTGACTTCTTCCAGGGAAGAGTTTGGGTTATCTTGGCCCAGTTTGTGTCCATTTCCCAGGCCCTTAGACTTTGGGCTGCTGATCTGAGGCAATGAGTTGTGCCCAAGCGTGGACGCGACGCCCAGCGAGGAGTGCAAGTCGAAATGCCTCCTTACGCCAGGGCCTCCAGCTGGGCTTTCCTTCAATGCGGCTTGCTCCTTTGCTTGGGGGGGGGGAATGCCTATACACTGCTTCCCAGAACCTGGCATGTCTGAAGACCTTCTGAGAAGAAGGGTTCTGCCCCCCAGGCCCCCCCCCCCACCAGAACCCAACATTTGATAGAAGCTTAGGGTTCTGCCCCCAAGGATTCGACCTGGCCACTCGCCTTTGGTTATTAGCTCGGTTCGCACAGCTCAGGGGCGCGGAGTGCCGACAATACCTGGGCTGCCGCACGCCGATGCTCACCATGAGCAATTATGCCCCAGCCTCAGGTGTGTATGTGTGTGTATATGTGTAAGTGTAAGTGTAAGTGTAAGTGTGTGTGTGTGTGGGTATGCGTTTCTTGAGTCATGGACCCTTAAACGGGCTATGGGGAGACGGGGCTATCCCTTCTCAACCCTTGAATAGGCCTTGTTAAGGGCTTCTCCTAGGCTTATCCAGGGATAGACCCCCCCCAATAACCCCCCTTACAGGTTTATGATTGAGGGCTACCGTTTTTGCCTTAGCTTAAAAAGCCAAAAGGAAAGCCATGATGCTTCTCCGAATCTTGACACATGCCCATGCAATTTTCTCCTAGCCAGGCTTGCTTGCGGGTTGGTCTTGAAGCGGTCTCCTGAATCTTGCTTTTGGTGGGGGGCAAGGGTCATATGACAGATCCATGGCCAAGAGCATGGGATTTCCCTCAAGGGGCGCAGCTTGATGTAATTGGAGATCCTTTGTGTGCAGGGACTTTTGCAGGTGACTTGGGGCTTATGAAAAGTGCAAATCCAAAGTCCAGGTGCTGTTGCCCGCATAACCTAGGCTTAGTCTTCCAGCGAATCTGAGCATTTTTTTCAGGGGGGGGATGTCTCAAGAGGTCGGGTAATCCTCAATTGGTGCTTTGTGTTGTTGGCTCGGATTTGATTTGATGGTTCTTGTGGGGGGGTAAATGGGAACCACCCCGAACCAAACCAACAATCCAAACCACCAATTGGACAGTTTGACCAAGCGAGGGACCAAGGTGCCCAGGAGGCTTCATTCGCCAGGCCAGGTGTCCATCCTTGCATGTTTCACTTGGTGCGACAAGCAGGGAATGATAAATGGAAGGAGCCCAGGCTTTGGTCCCCGAACAAAGGAAACCACCCGTTGGATGGTTTGGGGTCATTTCATTTCTCATCATTTCTCATTCCATGAGCACCAGCAAGTCTTGGAACCCGGTTTGGAGTGGAGGTGGGGTGTGGTTTGGAGGTGTGGAGGTTGGGTGGTTCCCTTTTGATGTTTCCATTTCTCATTCCCTACCTACTGAGCACCAGCATGTTTCAACACGAGGCGCGCCAGGGGCTGTTCCCAGTGCGCCCGAGGTGTGCGATGACGGGAAGTGGCCTGAGGCTAGCACTGGCTGCTGCGCCTGTACCTGAGCATCAGGCACATCGTTTTTTGTGTTTTTTTTTGGGGCGAGCTCACCTGGGCGCATAGTGAGCTAAAAAGAGGTCCTTTACCCGGGAACCAATTGTTCAGCTCTTGGAATTACAATAAGATTTGCAGATTTCAGGTTTGACACGTGTTTTCCAATTTTCCAAGCCCATCCTCTTTGGGGCTTGGAAAAGCTTGAAGGTGACACCCAATTTCAACCCGTGCCGGGTTTTCCGTGCCCAGGTCACCAACAGGACCAATGGACTGGGGACTCCCGCAACGTCCTCGGCTTTTGCCTCACTTCCTGAGTTGGACTTTCGTCACTTTTTGGGTTTGGACCTTTGTGGTAAATCAAAAGCTCTGTTTTGTGCGGCTCAAGCCACTCGATCGGAAGTGAGTTGCATCCACTTGGATCCAAGCGGATCCGCTCGATCCCTTCGAATAGGCTGGCTGCCCGCTCCTCTGCGAGACGAGCAAAGTTTGGCGACTCGACGGCCCAGGCCCATGGGAGGGTAACCTGGGCCCAACCGGTTTCGCGTTTCGCCCGGATGGCGGCCTAACCGTGGAGCACAACGAACGCGACCTGTTTGAAACCGGCTTTGGTCAAGTTGCTCGCTTCGGATTTTTTGGGAGGGTGCTCGACAGAAACAACTATCAAGTCCAGGTCGAATGTGCCCGATAGCTTGGTGCATGAAGCAAACTTAGCTCCCCACATGTCTGTCTTCGCGGTTCCCCAGCCGTCCAGTTCCTTAGGCTTGTAGATGTTTGGTGGGCGTAGTCGGGTTTCCCAATTCAACCCGCAAGTTACCCTCCGAACATTGAAGTGAATAAACAACCCCTTTCCAAGAAGAAAGTCGTCTTTCACGCCCTCGGACTTTTACAAAGCGGACTCAGAGACGCCGAAAAGGCGTCCGTGGCTTCGATCCCGCGCCAGGAATCCCTTGGTGGGCCGTGGCCTCAACAGAGGGTCAGCTTACTTGGCGTTCCAATGGATTCAAATTGGCCAAGCCTCCACTTTCAACTCCCCAGTTTAAACAAAAACAGTGCTTTCTCTGTAGAGGCATCTCCCCTTTGAACCTTTGTTTGTGGGTCTTCATGTGGATTTGCATGGGCAACTCACCGTGTTGCCGTTTGCTCCTTTGCGTCTCCTTCGTTTTGACCATCTTTGCCAGCAAGTTTGCAATCTGGCCTGAGCCCCAAGTCAAGCACGGAGATCTTGGCAGTTGAAGGCGTGCCACAATGGGTGTCCTTGTTAGCTGAGTGTTGCATAAAAATAGGTGGCACTGGTTTAGATAGGTTTTGTTCCATGTACCAGGGCCATCTATTTCACCAAAAGGACACCTACGTGTGCCGCACTACGGTCCATTAACTTCGCCTCAACCAGAAGAAAGCAGCATACCTTTGGATCCAAGTTTGGGCGTGGCTCAAGCCGTGAAGTATCCAAGGCGAGACGCAGCCAGTCAGTGGTGTACCAATGCACCTGCGGTGCGCCTGGCAGCATTGCATTGAGCAGGTTGGCCGAAAACTTCTCTTGACCGTATTTTGGCCTCTGCTTTAGCGAGCTCGCTAGTAAAGCAGAATCACCATGATGGGCCTTTGCCTGGGGGGTTGGCTTACTTCTGGTTTTGGAATTCTTGTAGACTTTGCGGGGCAAACATATTTTCGGTGTAGGGTAGCGGGCAAGGGGCCTGCAATGGTTGCTGTGTGGTTCGGCGGTCCCATCAGTTGCTGGTCACTCATATGGGTAGGATTTTTGATAAGAGACTTTTGTTGGACATCATTTAGCTGGGGATTCATGTCCACCAATCACTTTTGGGGCGGTTCCCTGCTAAAATTCATGGCCAGAGGTTGGTTGCTGTTTTCTCCCTGAGGCAACTCCCCAATTTGAGCACCAGACCGCCTGGCCAGATGGCTGCCCCCCGCCGACACAGGAGGGTACGGATCAGGCGCGGTCACGTCGGCGATTTGCCCGCGGCAACGAGCCGCTCGCTGGTGCGCCGCTCGCAGCTGGCCGCTTTTGAGGTCAAACAGACCCTGGAGGACAATCTTTGGGACAACGGCCAGGCCGTGGGATTGACTCAAAGATGTCAATGTGGCCATGCCAGTGTCATTTGACAGGCTTGCTGGTCGAATGGTTGTTTAATGACCCCGGGATATGTGCGCCACACATCTTGAGACGCCACTTTTACCTTGCCCATGGGGTCGATCGGTCAGGTGCTCCTGTCAGACATCGCCAGAAGGGAAGGACTCAAGCTGGGGGCCAACCGGAAGATGCAGGAGCGAATCAACGGGTTGCAACACTCGTACGGACTGAGCACCAGCAGCATCCAGCAGCTCCCCGAGTGTTTAAAGGGAATCTCACAGATGGTTTAACAGAGCGACTGGGTTACAGCAGGTCCCGCCATGCCCCTTAACCCGTGGCCAGCGGCGTGGCAGCTCCTGGTTCTTTATTCAATATTCAATGCTTCCTTTTCCGGAGCTGAAGGTCACATGAGCTTGTTCTGGGAGGTCAAGGTCAGAGATAGGGGGGGTTTTCTCTTGTGACACATAAGGTGGGTTCTTGCTTTGAATTGAACCGGGTGTTAGCTCGCCCATCTTTGTTTTGTTGCCCAAAGGGAAACCAACAGGGATTTGGTATGTGTTTATTTGAGAGCCCAGCTATTCAGGCAGCGAACTAAGGGGGGCTGGGTAGGAGCTCATGCTGGAGCGGAACGAATTGGTGCTGGAGCTCTCACGCACTTTGTCGGCAGAAAACCGGCCCCAGGCGGGCAGATACGGCCGCTGTGAACAATATTCATAGCTTCGTAGCTTCATAGCTCATTCCCCAACCCTTTCCCCTGCCCACAGTCAACCCTTTGGATTGGTGGTTTGGGGATTGGTTTTGGATTTGGATTAATGGTTCCTGTCGAGGGCAAATGGGAAACATTCCGGAACACCTGCAAACCACGTGCCACCAGCTAGGGGGATGCGGAAATTCGTCAACTCGTGGCTGCGGGCGTTGTTTTTGTCGGGGGCTGCAACATCCTTGGAGAACAGCCCGGTTTATACCCAACCTTCTGATGCGGGGTCGGCATATTATGCAAGCCCTGGCGTGTTAGTCAGTCAGTTCTATTGCTTAGGGATTTGGGAATCACTGCTTTTCGCGCTTCCTTCAGGTGGAGGGCAAGATTCAGGACATCAATTCGTACTACTCGCAGCTCATAGTGCAGGTGGGATGGGAAGGAGTGGAAACCCACTTGTGAGGCCGTTACCTGGGGCTCCCTTTTTTTTAGGTTGTTTTGTTTGGTTTTCTGTTTCGTGCAGCCTGTTTGGGGGCTTTGAGGGGGAACCAAAGGAAACTCCCACCGATGTATTTGGCGTTAAACGAAGATCCGCAAACAACTAGACTAGGCCAATGTGGCACGGCAGGTTTGCGATTTGCTCGCGTGCGAGGCAGCACGGACGTATCCTGATGAAGGCACGAATCCTGACGAGCACGGCACTCAGACACGTCACCTTGTGCCAAGATGCTAGTCCTTTCCATGTCCTTTCCCCTGCGTCAGTCCCATGGGATGCGGAGTAGGATTTGTGATTTGGGATGAAGAACCCAGCCACATATTCAGTGGATTCGAGAACAGGGTCATTGAGAAAGCGGGAGAGGTTTGAGCCTCGATATGGCCAAGCTCTGACATTGCAAGCAAAGCTGCAGACTGTGACACATTGTGGGAATATGGTCGTCTCTGTGCAATAGAGCTTCAGACCGATGCCATTCTAGGATAGAAGCCTTGAGACAGAGAGGCCGGGCTGCTCTTCGAGGGGTGTGCACGGTGCTCAACCCGGGATTTCCTGCCTTGGTTTCAAGGAAGCCACAAGAGCATGGAATACTGATGCAATGTCAGACGATGGACATTTTGAGCCGCGCGCAGGGCAAGACAGCGATGGTTTGTCCCAACTCCTGGCTGGCAGCTCAGAATTCTCGACTGGAAGTCCCCTTTTGTGTCTTGCTGCGGCAGGAAATGCGATATGGGCAGTTTGTGGGCGTATCTCTTCCCTATCTTGGTGTAATTCATAGGGAGCTGAACCAGACGGAAATCGAGTTTTTCTTTCTTGCGATGCCCCCTTTGGAACGTGATGGTCACTTCCAATTTTGCCCAGGTTACTTTCCCCTTTTTGGTATAGATTCAATGGGAATCTATCTCTACTCTTGGTGGCTCCCAGCCAAACCCCTTAGCCTTTTGGCTTTTCAGTGTCTAGTGGTAGTTTCCATTTACGCTAAAAGTTAAAAACTTTCAGTGGGGGATCTGAGGGCAGCCCGGCACCGGAACCTTTTTTTCAGGGGGCTTAAGCAAGTGGAAGGTGGCCGCCCCGGCCTTCGCGAGTGGGACCCGTGACCGATCCAGGCAGTGCTACTGACCGTGACCGTGATCTTCGTCCTTGCAGCGGGCTTGGCCTGTCCGCACAAAGGGCGGAAATTGAAAGCTTGCTCGGTTTCTTAAGAACATGAAACCCCAAGGCTTGGTTGCAGTTTCGTTGCGAAAGCCGATCTTTTGGGTTTCGTTTTGGCAGCCAATATGCGGACCCATTTATTTCCAGGTCATTCAGGCCACCGAGTGTCCAAAGACCCAAAGGCCAAATAGGAGGGACGCACCCGGTAGTTGGTGGTCAAATTTAGCATTTGCTTGGTTTCGCTTGCTAATCCACTATCACAAAACATATATATATATATAACCCATGTGCAAGCCAAGGCTACGTCACGAAGTACCAACGAATCGCTAGCTATCAAGGCTATGTCAGCCCAAAGGCGACGCGTGTGCCGTCACGGAGAGGCAACGCGTGGCTATTCAACAATGTCAAATGATTAATTTATTCCAGCCTTGCATCTTGAGAAATAACACCGCCCCGAATGACTCGGGTGCATTCCAACTTAGGGGCACGGAGTACCCTCCCAAAAACAGACGGCAGTCGGTGCTGAGATCCTGGTCGTGCTGATCCTGGTCCTCATACAGCGGAGGAACGCCAAACAACAAACGTTGGGGCCTTGACTTGATCTGCTTGTCAGACTCCTTTCCTTGCTGGTGCTCAGTAGGGAATGTGGGAATGAACCTGGGGATTCCCTTAAAGGAAACCACAAGGGACGGTTTACAAGGGCCATTCCCTCATTCCCTGCTCAGCACCAGCAAGTTTTCGGCAAACAAATGTTTGTCCAATGTCGGCGTATGTGTGTTGGGTTGTTTTGTTTGCTTTCTCTTTCCTTATTGGCAGGGGTGTCGAAGCACTCTGGCATGGGGTGGCCCAATGTGTTGTTCTACTTGCCTAGGTCACCCGACGAATTCAGTCGCTGGCTATTTAAAGGACAACCTGATTAACCATCAAACGGAATCCTCAAAGAAAAGCCTGTTGAAACTTCCAATGTCCCCTCGCCATCCTAAGGGCCCCCCAAAAACGCCACCTTTCCCTTCCGCCTCCGAATCTCAAGCTCAGCATTGGTGACACATTGTTTTAGCGCAGTGCGTACGAGCGCAACACACCAAGATCAACATTCCGAGTAGGTTTAGTGTGTTTCTACACTCTAAGAGCTGGTTTGTGCATCAAGTCGCACATGTTCGGCCAAGCAAGCTGCAGGGGGCGACCTTTTCGCGCAGCAAGGGCTAGTGAAACGAGTCTGGAGGTGGCCTTCGACACTGCGCCGGGCTTGAGGCCCATAACGGCCTTCACGGAGACGGATCAGGTTGTCATCGGCAGCACCGCGCTTAGTGGCTTTATTCGGGCGCGATCCTCAATCCTTACCTTGAGTTACGCAAGGATTCGGTCCCCTTTGTAGTTTTCCACTGGGGATTGTGCGAAAATCGGATTGGCCGACACTCCGTAGAGCCCAGACATGCTTCATCTTCAGGACAACGCGCGTTGTTGTTTCTCAGGTCCCGTGCCGGTGCAAGCACCGGAAGGCAAAGCTGAAGCCGCGGCCCCAAGTCGCTTTTTTTGGGGGGGGCCGAAGGTCATTCCCTGTTTGTTTTGGGCTGGTTTGGGATTTGGAGGCAGCTTTCAGGGACAGGGAGGGCTCCGGAGGGCGGGTTGCGGGGCTGTTGGGGATACCGCTGGACTTTTTGAATGCAAGTACAGTCCTCATTCTTAATGATTGACAATCTCATCATGGCTTTGGAAGGTTCGGGGGATATGATGCACCACAGCACCATCAGTACAGAGAAGTTTGAATGGCTGAGGATGCACCCAGGGTCGAAATGGGCACGTCTCAGGATAACAAGCCCATTTTGGGGGAGTGCTCCTTTGAAACATCCAAAGGTTGCTCACGTTGGACATCTTGTCTTGGGCAGGCCGGCCTCGGTTCTGAACGAGCAAGCATGTGGTGGACAATGGATTTGGCCTGCACTCGCCTGAACTTCGCAGCAAGGGTCCGCAGTCGATGCCCGTAGAGGGTTGCACCTGTATCTTCCCCGCCCGCGGGGGGGGGGGGGAGCATGCCCTCCCGCCCTTGCCACACAAAAAATGCCCTGGTTTTGAGTGACCGGACCCTCACAGGCCAAAGTCCGCCGCCCTTTGCCCTCAAGCCAAGGGTGTTGTTGGAGGAGCTGCTGTCACCGTGCAGGAAGCTCAGCAGGTTTTAGGGACCTCACGTTTTGCCGATGTGTCAACACCATGGACATGTCCGCAGTGCTGCGAATGATTGCATGTGCTACAAGCTATCGGCCTGCATGATTTACATATATCGTGTGCCTAGATGCGCACGGTCCGTGTAGAGACTGTTGCCATTGCATTAAGCTTCTTCTACGTGGATGTTTCATTTCCTTCCAGGATCGTTTTGTCCAGGTCAGCTCCGACAAAGGGCAGATCTTCCGACTCCTGAAGGGAGAGACCATAATTTATCCGGGAAGTGCGAAACTGCGATCAGCGAAGCTGACAGCACAATCTCGCCTTTTTCAGGCCAGTCGGCCTTGGAAGCTGCCGCGAAGCGGCGGAGTTCTCATCGGCTTCGCGGGCGTGAGCCAGCGATACTGTACCGAACGTTCCGAAATCTCTGCCGCGCCCACGTCATTTGCCACAAGGATCGTAGTTGCCAGCCATTGAAACGCAAATGACTCAGACATGGTCAACAAGTACATGTGTTCTTTTCGAGTTTCATGAATCAGCCAATCTGGAGGTGCATGTTCATTTGAAGTGATTCTCTTCGAGGACGTGGCACTGGGTACCACGATCCCCCGGATTTTCGCCGGCTGAGGTGCCCAAAGGAGGCGTGGCACCATACCAAGGGCAGAGACAAAATTATTTGGCAATGCTTGGGCTGGGTTATGTGTCACATCAAAGGGACCCGCGACGATGATCCTTTTCTAGGTTCCCCAGTAGTGCCCTTTCACCCTTTTTTTGGGGAGGGTCCCCCTACTAAAATAGACTACAGTGACTACAGCAAAAAGGGTACCCTTGTTCTATCCTCTCTACTGGAGGACCTAGTTTTGGTTTCCCTCTAAACCACCCATAAAGAAAAGAGAAACAACACAAAGACAAAAACATACCGAGTGTTTGGCGGAAATCATGGTGTCGGACCAACTCGACACAACGCCGGCATCAATTACCACCCGCAGACGCGCGTACAGAACGCAACTTTGGGCTGAGGAGGCGAAGGGATGCTTTGGCGTAAACCCATAGGATTCCGCTCCGGGACCCATATTCCTTTCCCATCTTTTTGGGTGTGGGGAATTTGGCCAGTTCCGATCAGTTTTACGGCTTGATGATGCCCTTCATACCAGATTTCCGTACCAAAGCGGCCGCTTTTCTTTCGTTGTTTTGCTTCAGGTGTACCGTATACCCCCGCACAACTCACACCCAATTGCAGAGGGGCAAGCAAAAGAACCACATCTGCATATCCAATGTGAGGGATCAAACCCGGCTGCGCTCGACTCGCCTGCGCCTCTGCCTGCGGGTCCTTCCAATGGCATGGACGAGGAGTTGCTCCATGCGACGGCAAAGGGTTCGGCATCCCCAAAGGCATCGGTTGCACGTGCGTGAGAGCGAGAGTGCGTGTGGGTGTGGGTGTCGGTGTGTGTGTGTGTGCGCGTGTGTGCGTGTGTGCGTGTGGGTGGGGGTGTGGGTGTGGGTGTGGGTGTGGGTGTCTGTGTGTGTGTGTGTGTGTGTGTGTCTGTGTTTGTGTCTGTGTCTGTGTCTGTGTCTGTGTCTGTGTTTGTGTGTGTGTGTGTGTGTGCGTGTTTGCGTGTTTGCGTGGTTTCGCATGTCTGTGTATGTGGTTTGTTTGTTCAGGGTACCCTTTTCACTTTATAGTTCAATTCTAACCAAACAGGCAATACCGCCATTTGCGGGTTTTTTCCTATCCTGCCATTGTCAGACTTGACTCACCTTCGTCGCCTGTTTGCCCTTGTTTGGTTTGCTTTCTTTTCGCCTCTATCAGAAAACAATTGATCGGATCTCCAAGGCCAATGCTATATGGTCAAAGACCTGCCTACGCTTGACAATAAATACGCGGCCCCCCATCCAAGAATGATGATTGTGTGGGTTCCATGTCGGAGAGTAGGGAGAATCGCGCCATCAGCCGTTTTCTAACGCTTTTAGTTCGGATCTTTAACCGACGTACATGGGTCCGTCTCGAAAATAAAGGCCCTGTTTCTAGTTTGATTCGCCTTGCTTGTTTTCCCATGCGTTCCCATGTCCTTCAGAAGTGACTTGGACCCAACCGGGCCAATTCCATGGGGCGTTCAAGCTTCTGAGGGTCCCGCCGATGTCAACCAACCCCAACGCACAGCCTGGCAGGCGGGGGCCGCCGTCGCTACCGCAGCCAAGCTGAAGGCTGGCGTGTTTCTTGGCGCGCTGGGGCAAGACGGAGAGTTGGAGAGTTACGTTTTGTCGAATTTGTGCTGAGAAGGGCCCGGGGCTTTGTGGGAAGAGGACGAATGGACCAGATTTCGCTGACAGGCGCCTGGCAAAGCCAGCAAGGCTAAAGCTGCAGAGAGTGACAAGGACTTTGGCCCGAAATGCTTGTGGTTTTGATTGAACTTGATATGCTTTCCATGATCTGCCAAAATGCAGGAAGTCAGGAAGCCCGAAAGCTTGGTGGCTGGGATTGATTGTGGGTAAAAAACGAAACCAACCACCGGAACACCTCCAAACCTTAAGCTGAGTGTGTTTGCCTCTTGCGAGGAGTCTCCTCGGAGCCGGAAGCTCATGGCCGGGCTGACCAGCTGGTGGCTACCTAGGTCCCCCAGCAGTGCCCCTTTTAGTCCTTTTTAGTAGACTACAGAAAAAGGGTACCCTTATTCTAAGCTCTCTACAGGAGGACCTAGCATTCGATTTTCCGAAGTGAATGCCAACAAACAATGCAGGACAAGCATGGCCCTTAGAAAATGCGGTACACACGGAATGGTTTTAAGCATGGTTTCAAAGTGGTGCAAACGGATTTCGTCCATCCATGGTATGCTGACACTTCCTCTTGGCTAAGGTTACTGGGTATTGAGTGGGGCAGGTTGGGAGTTTTTGTAGCCCAGAATCGAAATAGAAGAAGGGCCTGGGGGTAGGTGCCCTTTGCTTAGCAGTGCAACGAACATCCCAACACACAGACATATGATATAATCTTATGATCAGGACTTAATTTGTGTCCAACATGTCCCACAAGCTCATCCGATTTATTTCGGCCCTTACACTAACAAATCAAAAGCTTGGCGGTTCTCAGCCGTGCGGTTCTTTCGGCTTTTCGATTTTGGGTTTCCATCTAACCCACAAGTTACAAACTTTTAGCCGGGGATCGAAACACGGACAGCCCAGTTCAGGATTCCGATGGCTTTGGGTTTGCGAAGACGTGTTGGAAAGGTGCGGCCCACCGCAAGCTGCTGACGGCGCTCGGCGATTTGGACGCCGACGCCTTGCGAAAGGTGCGCTTTCGGTTTGGAATTGCCCCGGAAACACGCCATCCCCGATTTGGCTTCCTCCCCAAGACCGGTTGAGTCCCAACACCCGGACTTGCTCATTCCCTCTCGCACCGACAAGTATTGGCCGGTGGGAAAGAATTGCACTGGAAGACACTGATTGAGGGTTCCATGTCTTTTTGCCGACGAGGTAGGCTGAAACCCAGTTTTCCTTTTGGGGACATAACCATTTCTGGGTGGGCATTTTCAGCCCCAAAAACGTTTGAGCTCCATGTTGATGAATTCGGTTGGGCTGCTAGTTTCTTTCTCTTTAGGGGCAATCCCCGAACAGTCCTATATTTGTTTTCTTGCGGGGGAGGGATGGCATCTCGCTTTCAGCAGACGACTGGTCGCGCGAAGTCCTTTTGCGCCGCGCAGGCCATCCACGAAGCCTCGGCGCTCACCTTGGTCAGCTGGGTATGCCGTCGAAAGGCCACCGTTTTTTGCGGTTGGCTTAAGAGAACTCAAAAGGGGATGGATTTAAACAGGGAATCTCACAAATGGCCAGTGGACATGAAGCTCCACCTAAATGATGTCCACCAATGTGTCCGGTGGACAGTTTACCGATGGTGCGGCAGAGCGAGAGAGAGAGAGAGAGAGATAGAGAGAGAGAGAGAAAATAAAATAGTCCGGGGCCCATGAAGATTTGCGCATATTTGCGCAAAGGAATACAAGCAGTTTGGGTCCGGAATGTCAGACAAACCCTAAGGTTGCTGGCGTGGACGAGGAGGCCGGAGTGGGTGCCCCGGGCCAATGAACGAGCACGAATGAGCAAATGCACCGTGGCTGCATGGGCTCAGCCGCCAGGTCTTCCTTTTCTCTCGGGATGCTCTGGTGGGGTAAGCTTATCAGGAAGTGGCAACCCCATACTTTTTGGAGGGTACCCTTCTAGTGTTTGTCGTCAAGTCCGGGAGGATGTACCTGCAGACATTGGGCCAAGACCTGTTTTCCATGCAAATCAACATCTATGGTTCGAAGATCATCCTTTCTTCAATCATTCCGTTTGTGTTGTTGGGCCTAGCTTTGAGAAGCTAGTGTTCTTTGTGGGCGAGGGTTCAGGCATCCCTTGGACTTGACCCCCTGGTTCTTGTAGGCGCTAAATGGGACACATTTCCCTCAACCACCCTCCAAGAAAAAGCAGCACTACTAACAAAACCAAAACACCACAACAAACAAACCAAACCACAAATGGAGGGAACTTCTTCAGGGTGTGGTGAACTGCAGGTACCACCTTTCCATGCCCTGCCAGGGCCTGGCTGCAGTGCAGGTGGCTTTGCAGGAGCTCGCAGCTCAGCCTGGGGGCCCCCTTTTTTTGGGTATGTCCAATTTGTTTGAAACAAAACGGCCCCAAAACAGGTTCCATCCAAAAGAAGAAGAGCCGCGCTGTCCTACTAATTTGTTGTTGGAGCGAAATGCTGTGTATGTTTGCCGGGGTGAACTGCTTTTGGTTGCCTTGCTCACAACGAGCAATTGTCAACCCACAAAAAGGTTTGTCTTTTCTACCAGGGTCGCTGCGAAACTGGGTTTCAGTGTCTGAGACTGGAGGATCAATAACTTGCTGGGAATTTGTGTCCCTTTATTTCGAGATTGACGTTTGTTTTTCTCCGTGCGGGCATTTGTTTGTTGCGACTTTGAACCAACGCCAAAACAGGCCTAATCCCACCTGCAACAAACCTACGCTGAAGCTCCCAGAAGCAAAGCCCCAACAGGCCGGTGGAGATGCTAGTGGAAAGCGCTTGAGTGCTAAGACACTGGTGGCAATGCGAATGGTGCAAATGGCCACGGTCTGGCTCAGCCCACAGGATGCCAGCCAAACCAGCCCACAGGATGCCAGAGAAACCACATGAATGACATATATGACTTGGGCTTCTTCTTTTTTTGCGGAAAAAACATAAATTTGGGCCCTCTTTTGAACTGAGTTTTTGGGGAAGCCAAACGGAAACCCATCCGAAGGCTCCCCATTTTAGCCGGAAACGCCCGAGGTTGGAGGCGCCTGGGGCCATTGGCAGCCTGGCGGAACGCCAGAAGGCCCGGCTTGGGGCCCTCCATGGCGTTCAGAGACCCTGGTTTCGGGTGATTCAGTGATTCCCCGGCAACCGCAGCAAACAGTTTGGTTTTCAAGTTTGGTTTCTTAAAGTGGTGCGAAATGGATTTCATCCACAGTACT